GTAGACTTCATCCTCCCACCATTTTCGTTAAGATATAAAGGGGTGAATTACAAAAGTAAAAAGTATCTTGCCATCCTTCCAAGAGCGAGATACTAGGAACAGGGCAAAATCAAACAAAAATATAATATTTGAAATGTCAGATTAATGAGAGTGAAATGGGAAGAAGCACATTTTCTTTCAGCAGTGCCTGAATATGATGTGTGGGAGAATTTCAAAAGAATGATAATTATTTATCAGGCAAATGTGTGGGGGTCACAGCACAATGGGACATGTGGCAAGCTTGCCAATCAAGTTAAAAGCACATTATATAACACAATTGTTAGAGGTGGGAGTAGCGTTGGGGTGGGGGGGCCAAGGTTTCACCCTTCAGAGAAGACAGCAGCCTCTCTGAAAGACTACAGCTTGCCATGGGGAAAACAGCTCCACACAACACTCCTCTACAGCCTGCAGTGAGTGGCATGGCCGTTCACAGCCCCAGGTATTTGAAGTGTGGCTGGCCTGGAGTCAATGTTTATAGTCATTTTTAAGAATCTTGTTTTAGTTATGGTAAGTATTCGTTTGTAGCTGTGTTCCCTTTCATTTAATTTTTATGGAGATATCATTCACACCATGCATTTTAACTACTTCGAGTATACAATTCAATGGCTTGTTAAAAATATTCACTCAGTTGTATAACCAACATCAAAATCAATGTTCAAATGTTTTCATCATTCCTCCCCCCTAAAACAAACCCACATTCATTAGCTGTCACTCTCCACTTCCCTCCAAGCCCCCTGGCCCTAGGCAGCCACTAATCTACTTTCTGACTACATAGATTTGCCTGTTCTGGATGTTTCATACAAATGAAATCATACATATGTGGTCTCTGTGATGCGTTTATTTCACTTGGCGTACTGTTTTCAAGGATCATCCACGTTGCAGCACATGTCAGTTCTTCATTCCTTTTTATTATAGGTCTTACTTGATTGTACGGATCTTATCTATCCATTCATCAGTTGGTAGACACCTGAGTCATTTCTACTTTTTTGGCTAGTATGAATAATGCTGCTAGGAACATTCATGTGCAAGTTTTTATGTAGAAATAGGTTTTCTTTTTTTTTTTTTTTGCATATACAGCCAAAAGAATTTCTAGGTCATAGGGTGACTTTATGCTGAACTTTTTGAAGAACTGCCAAACTGTTTTCCAAAAACAGTTACATCACTTCAAATTCCCACCATCAGTGTATGAGAGTTCTAATTTCTCCACAGCCTCACTCACCAGTACTTATCATCTGACTTTTTCACAATAGCCCTCTGAGTGGGTGGGAAGTGGTATCTTATTGTGGTTGATTTGCACTTTCCTGATGGCTAATGATGTTAAGCATCATTTCATGTACTTATTGGCCACATATACTTTCTTTAAAAAAATGTCTAACTCATATCTTCTTCCGATTTTTAATTGGGCTATTTGTCTTTTTATTATTGAGTTACAAGAGTTCTTTATATATTCTGGATACAAATGCCTTATGAGATATATAATTTGTAAGTGTTTTCTCCTAATCTGTGGGTTTATCTTTTCATTTTTTTAAAGCACATGTGTGGTTAAAAACAGTATTTTAGCTGAAATAGTCAAAGTAATCTTTTAGTGAATTTAGGGGAGGAAAATGAAGCACACATCCATCTAACCATTGATAATGAAAGCAGCAACGGTTAATTGGGCACACAGACAGACGCACGCACACACCAGCCACTCTTCTTTCATTCTCAGTAGTGGATTCTCCAACTATTAGAACAGCATATGGATGCCTGGAAACAAAAGATCACAATTTCTGAACCGCCCTTGCAACTAGGTGTAACGATACAACCCCATGTAGCCCAATGGAATGTGAGCAAAAGTGGCGTGTAACCTCCAGAAGGTGTTCCTACAACAAAAGACAATGCCATGTGATCAACGGGAGCAGGCACCTTGGGCCTGAAGTGAGTAGGAAGGCAAACCATGCACAACAGGGGGCAGCTTATCAGCCACTGCCTGACCACCTCTCTAGGCTTCCTGAACACGAGAAAACAATCAACTTTCACCCGATTTAAGCCACCTTACTTGAGTTTTTCTGTTACATGGAATCAAATCGGATCTGAACTCGTGCAACAACTGAGGGAAAGCTCTGTATTTACATGCACACACACCAAAGCAAGCCCAGGCTCCATGCTGAGGTTTATGAAGTATCGCTTATTGCAGGGGTGGAAAACGTCTAGCCCTCGAGCCGTATATGGCCGCGAAATCATTTGGTCTGGCCCTGCCAAGGCATTAGGGGTGAGTTAAGTAAACGTCTGACCAAATATGGCAGGCTAAGTTTTAAGCTGATCATTTTGTATGGCCCTCGAATGGTGTTATAAATATCCAAATGGCCCTTGGCAGAAAAAAAGATTCCCTACCCAAGCCTATGTTACTGACTTCTTTTCCAACACAAGGGATAAAAAGCAGCAAAAATTAATACCAGAAGAGAAGACACAATATATTTAGAGTAAACATGTGCAATCAACTGTGAAATTGCTATATGAAGGTGCCCAGTAAGAACTCTGTACAAATCCCATCAGAAACCCATTCACAAGCCTCACATGCTCGGAAATGGGTTACGCTCACTTCCTTTAAGCAGAATGAACACTGTGGAGCTCGGTTCTGCGTGTGGTCCAGAAGAAAAGGATGGTTGACTGACAGTTGCCTGACTGAATCTAATCCCAATTCTATCTTCTAAGCAACAATTCAATGTCATTTAATCCAGAACAAATTTGGTGAATGCCCGCCATACCAAAAGCATTGCATTTGGTTCTCCAGTACCAAATGATACTGAGATGGGGTATCCACCCACATGGAATTCATGATCTAATAGACAAGGGACAAATTACCTATACTTCCCAGTAGTCCACTGGCCAGGAATCAAGGTAAGAGTCAAGAAAAGAGCCTACTTCGTTCAAACTTTTCATTAAATATGCCTTCAAAGCCCCAGAATTAGAGTAGAGACCTCCAAGCACAGGCCCTGCCTTCGCCAGATTTTTCCTGTTTTATATACACACAAAATTTTATTTGAAAAGAGGACTCCTTATTAACCAGTTTGAACCACTAGGATAAATCAATTCTAAGGTCTTCCAAGAGTCCCCTTACAAGGTATTATCTTCTCCAGATAAAAATAACTCCATACGAGCCCAACTCAATCTTTGTGAGGGGGTGAAGAGGTCACAGTCATCATCAGGATCGTGGCTGATGAAGAGCACTTGGTGTGATCAAGGTTTTAGAGAAGATATAGAGCTAAGCAAAAGTAATATAAATTGTATTAGAGCAATATATATGAAGAACTAGAAGGAGTCTGCTTTTAAAACAAATCAGATTAACCTCCTGCAACACATTTTCTAGTTGGTGGCACTGCTGACTCAACTTCCTCAATTATGTAGGACACGTCAGGATTACAGTGGTTAAGGGCTTGGCTTGGAGGCAGAATGCCGAGTGTCTCCACTCTTCCTTCCTAGCTCCGTGACCTTGGGAGGTCAACTAAGTTCTCTACGTCCAAGGTCCCCACCATCAAGGGGAAGGATAATATCTACCCGATTCAATGAGAAAAGGCGCAGAAGAACTCGGAAGGAACACTGTCTGGAGCTTAGAAGGGCGCAGCAACCGTCACTGTGGGTGTTTGCACACAGGAGTTGGACTACGCAGCTGGAATCTCTTCTTGAAGTTTTGAACCAGTCCTTACTGGCTTGAAATGTAACTTCTTTTGCTCATTCTCCTTCACTTTTTTTAATCAATCCTGGCAAAATACTTACTGTCTACCCTTTTCATGGTAGTGCCAACTGTATCCTGGCGCTTAAGGGCACATCTTTATCTATCTGGTCTCAGTTCATTTATTAGAAAGTGAAGCACAGATGTCCCCTCTCTGCACCAACCCCACAGATTTAGTTGTATCATCTAAAGGAAGAGGAAGCATGAGTTATTTTTGTATTCTTAGGTCCTGACCTGAAATGAACTTTTACTTAAAAAAAACAAACAAAAAAAAAAAACTCATATGTAAAACTTTCATGATACAAATATGCAACGGCCCTATCTGAACACCACTGTTTCCAAAACCAGGGCTTGCAGCGAGCCACCATACTGTCCGCCTTGGAAACAAAACAAAGTAAAACCCAGGACCACGAAGTCCCTCGGTGCCCCCGGAGGACACAGAAATAAATGCCAGACACGAAGTAATATGAACGGGTGAACTTTTTCCTTTCTCTTCCTTCCTTCTCTCTGGCAAAGATTCTTTTATAAGTAAACAACAGAAAGTCCTACCATAAGAAAAATACAGTAATCTTTTAACAGAATATCCTAAGCCCCTCCCTCACATAAAGAGCAAAGACAGTGAAAATTCCCACACACAACGACGAACACTGTTCTGTGTGAAGTCACCAGCACCTCTTTTTAGCTTCGCCACCCATATATTCCTTACTTTCCCCCATTATTCCTTTAGTGCCACATCTTCAGCACGGATCAACAATGAAAGGCCAAGGTTATTTTTTTATATATATTTTTTTTTATTGATTTCAGAGAAGAAGGGCAAGGGAGAGAGAAAGAGAAACATCAATGATGAGAATCATTGACCGGTTGCCTCCAGCACGCCCCCAACTGGGGATCGAGCCTGCAACCCATGCATGTGCCCTTGACCAGAATCGAACCCGGGACCCTTCAGTCCACAGGCCATCACTCTATCCACTGAGCCAAACCAGCCAGGGGCCAAGGTTATTTTTAAGTGACAACACTGCTTAGAATGACTCCAAATGTCAGCCACGAATGACCTATCCCTCTGCAGCTAAACGCAGGGGCCCAGACTAACAGCTCACAATGAATAGCACACAGGCGGGACATGTAACAATGCCTCGGAGAGTGGCATTCTCTTCCCATCCTGGAAATAGCAGTTGCAATTTATCTTTATTTTTTTAAATCATTTTTTCAAATGGTTCTTTTAAGAAGTCTAATAATTCCAGTCACTTACCTGTCAGCAACTTCTACATCAAAACAGAATCTTCTGTCTATGGAGTCTGTGTGCCTCTTGGTACATTCTCTCAAAAAGAACACCTCTCCATCCCCCTGCAAAAAATCGTTTTAAACACTCTCAAAAACCACAGTATAAACATATGCACACGGAGGCACCCTGTCTGGGAGCAGGGAGAGAGAGAAAGATTTTAAGTCTCTTTATCCTACATATTATCTTCCAAACTAGTTTCCATTTAGAATCTTAACCATTTTTGTCCTTCTCCTTTCCTTGGGGGTTTCTAGGCCCTCTTTGGTGACAACAACATTAAGTAAGACCTCAGGAGAGCTCATTTTAAGAGCTACTTGAACAAAACATTTTCCGCATGCTAGAATATGTATTACTATCTTATTGCATTCTTTTATAAAGAAGAATAGCGTGTTTTTAATGCCCAGTATAGTATACCATATAAAATAGCCAGTATGTGACCATTTTGACCTATAAAAATTTGATTCTAGCTACGGGAACTTGGAGGTCACTTAAATTCTCTATGTCCCAGTTCCCCCATCATAAAGGGGGAAGGATAATATCTACCTGACAGAGGTGTGGTAAGATTACATGAGAAAAAGCGCAAAAGAATTCAGAACAGTCTGGAACTTACCTAAAAGTCCACGAAGGGCCCTAGATTAGCAATCCTGGTCATCTAAAACTAGAACCACTCAATCTACACAGTTTTTCTGTTTCCTAAGTGAACATCCTGAATTTATCTTTTCTTAATTTTTTTATGGTACTTGTTTACCTCCCTAAACCATCCTCTCTAAAAGCATTAAAAAGAGGCAATGCAGGAACGCAGGTCCTCGGTGAAGAACTGTGAGAAGTCGGGCTACTCCTAGAACATTTTAACATTTTCTAGACTAAGGATCTTCAGATAATATTCAACAGTCAAATATACAAATATTCAAAATGTCACAGTCACTATGGATACAATGTATTTTTTATTTGGTGGCTAAAACAGACACCACTCAGCAGACAGGACCTGGGACTTGAGTTAGCTCTGGAAGGAAACTCAGACTCACCTCCGGCTCCATCCTAACCCCGTCAGCCTCGGAGAGTGGCATATCACTTCCTCCTCTTGTCCATCAACCTGATTTTCCATGTCTATTTCATTACCACAGAAATGTGTTTGTATTATAAGCCACCTGAACTATTCTCTTTCATGGGTTGGCTCTGCAGTCACATAAGCAAAAGCATGCCTGTCCACCCAGCGAACCCTTCTTTCTTAAAATGTGTTACCAATGATGTTCAGCGCTGGTGGGAAGACCTTTGTCCCCAGACCCCTGACTACTGCTCTGAGCTGCAGCTTCTACTGAAAACACAAATGAAGATCACCTTTCCCACACAGCCAGTGCCGGGGGCTTCCTGCTCTTTTCTTGCCAGTATGAGGTTCTGCCGTTCCTTCCTACGGGAAGAGGAAACTAAGTGGGGCCTCCCTACGTCAGAACTTGGAAAGTCTAAGTGAAACATAGTGAAATTCATTACAGATCTTCCCCTCTATCATGTTTCGGGGTGCAGATACACGTGCGCAGGTCAGATCTGCGTGTAAACACTGTGATGACAACTTGTGGTAGGTTCTAGGTTTATCCTCCAACCACAGTGACGTGAGAGGATTCTACTCTCTCTTAAAGACACAATACATCTGACCATAGATACCCATGCAGTCAAGTAAAAGACCACACACACAAAAATAATAATAATAATTTTAATCCTAAAAAATTAAATAAAATGTATTTATCATCGGCGAATATGAACGTCATTGAAGCAACACCCTCAAAGACTCCCACAGAACACAGTGTGAAATCAAATACTTACAAGTTTCCCACCAGATCTGTGCTCAAATGGGATCATGTTGAACTTCTTGGCCGCCTTCCGATACATGCAGTAGTGTTTGACCCAGCTGGACCCGAATGGGGCAGGCCCTGACACAAGAAATAGGAAAACAGGACTTTCTATGTTTCCTCAGAAATAAGCAAATGTGCTGAGTTCCACATTACTAAAGAGGGAAAACCCAGTAAGCCGCAGGTAAGACAGCTCAAGAAAACAAATCAGCAAAAACCACTCATCCTAATAAAAGGGGGAAACCAAGGAATTGAGACGCAGAGAGCTCATCTGAGCAACATGGAAGGAGTTAAAGACACGCTTCTCAAGCAGTTTGCTGGGCTGTTACCTCAGACCTGAAAGTCTTGTAGTTGTAAGCTGTATTTATTTGGGTCTAGGTATTAAGAGTTCATGCCAGTTTCAAACATTCTATTTAATATATGCGGCTATTAATATTTTTGTTAATCTTCACCTGAGCATATTTTTCCATTGATTTTTAGAGAGAGTGGAAGGGGGAGGAGGAAGGGAGAAAGAGACAGAGAGAGATTAGAATTAAAGAACCAATGTGTGTTGTTATCAATAGCTAGCTCTAGTTACTTTTCATTGTATCTGTCTCTCCCTCTCCCTTCCTGTCTCTGAAATGAATGAAAACTTTTTTTTTTAAATGACTTCAACAAGAAGTAAGGTTGTGGGACGGAGGAGATGGGAGGGTGTGCATATGTACTAGGCTTTGTTTTACCCCATTTTATATATGGACTTGAGCATCCGAGGATTTTGGTATCTGTGGGGTCCTGGCATCAACTCCCCTGAAGATATTGAAGGACAACTATATGGCGGGGGGGGGGAGGGGGGGGAGAGATAGGGAGAGAGAAAGAGAGGTGGGGAGAGAGAGGGAGGGAGAGAGAAAGAGAGGGAGGAAGAGGGAAAAGGGAGGGAGGGAGGGAAGGAGGGAGGGAGGGAGGGAGGGAGGGAGGGGGGGAGAGAGGGAGGAGGAAGAGAGGGAGGGGGAGAGAGAGAGAGGGAATAGGGGTTAGGTGAAAGGAGAAGACCCCATCTCGTTTTCAGCCTTATGCCGAGTTCTGGCTCCCTTGGGAGCTAGTTTAGCAGAGCCTGGTGCAGAATTCAGGGTGTTCCCGGAAAGCCCAGTGCTCACAGACCCTCCCTGAAGCAGGAATGTGTTTCCCCCAAAAAAATGCAAATACACCTTCTAGATGGGAGGAGGCAAAGTGGTAGGAACGATTATTCCAAAGATACAGAGTCATTACAATAAGAAGTTTTAAAATAATTCCTAAGGAGTCATCCCTCCCTGTTAGCGGCCTCTTACTTTTCTCCTGCACATACAGGTAGCCTTCGGCCGTGAACTGGCTGGCTCGCTTGTGGTCCTTGGGATTCTGTCGGATTTTGTTCATAAGCTCTTCCACTTCCGACCTCGTTCCTTCAAAACGATTCCGAGTCTGAAATGGATAAAAAGCACAGACATGTTTTAAGTTCTCCCACGAGTTTTTTGTTATTTTTTTTTTCATGTATATTTCTACGTCTCTGGACAACTATAAGTAATTCATAGCATTTTTCTATAAGTTTCTCATATACCCAGCCTTTCCAGTGTGCCTCTTTGTTAAGAAAAGGGGACGGGGTGGTGGTAAAATAACAAATAGAGGCGTCAGAGTAACCAGAGATGACTTACTTGAGCAGCTTACCAACACCAAGAATAATTCTACTACTCAACATAAGAACGCCTGCGTCCACTTCTCACAATTCTGCTGAATCTTAGAATTTGTTACAGCGCAGGTCATAAAGCATCCGTCCTGGAAGTCTTTCCCTCACAACAGTCAACCTGAGTCCTTGTCACGACGATACCAGCAACATGTCAAAGGGTCAGAATCTGAAAAGCTTCTTTCTTTTAAAGTTAAATATGAGCATCGTTTTTCCAAGTCAAGGTAACTGCACTTGAAAATGACATTTCTTCTAAGAAATGGGGGGCGGGGGGGGGGGAACCTCACCTACAAATATTGTCTCCTAGAGCTGAGGAGACAAATCTCATTTCTGAAACCCAGTATCTCTGCCAAGCGGCTACACTAACAAAGCACAGGAAGGGGAGGTGACAGCACTTCCGAGGCGACTGTGAGGAGTCAGCACCAGCGAGTGCCTGGACCTCACTCTCGTCCACACTCAAAAGTAACTGTATTAACACGAAAAACTGCTGATGTGGCGCTGCGGAGGCGCGGAGATGAAGAATTACTATTGAAATTTCTCCTCTCTCCTCCCTGTAATGAAAGGGGTGACCAAGGGTCCAAAGAGCAGAAAAATGGAAGAAAGGTAGACATTTTTTAGGGGGATGGGGAGTCCAACAGAAGTGGTTGTAAAGGGGAAAACATGTCTGCAGAGAAATGCAATAGGGAGGTGAAGCCCTGGGGCGAGGCAAGAACCGATGAGGGGAGGGGGGACATCTGTAATACTCTCAACAATAAAGATAAATAAAAGAAAAACAAATAAAATAAAAGATCTGTGTATGTGTTAAAAGACCTTACAAGGCTGCAAAGCGGGTGGGGCTCGTGTGTTAATGGCCACTTCCCATTCTCCTGAATCCAGGGTTTCTTAACACTGACCACACCCTGGCTTTATTCGCCTTCTTTGTCACTTTGCTGAAATTTCTTGCAACCCTCACTTCTTTCCATCTCTACGTTTTATACATATACATACATATATACACACACATATATATACCCACACACATATATATGTGCATACCACATATAGGTATGTACAGACGTGAACATATACACACTATTTACCTCCTATTTACCCAATACTCTCATTATTTATGTTCAAATTGTCCTGGATTTGACCTGTGCCCCCTAACCCTCTGAGCAATCCCATCCTTTCTGATCCAAGGAGCCCGGGTTCACCTCGTGCTGACTCAGGCCTAAAATCAGCCATTTCCCCAACAGGGCCCTTGCTCCCCTTAGTGGAGGGTCGTATTTAGAAACCAAGATCTGGGCAGAGTCCACAACATCATAAAACCAAGAGAGGGACAAAAGGAAAAGGAACAACAAAGTAAAAAGACGGTAAGCCCGCCCCTCAGAAATAACCACGTTCGTATTTTTACGTGACCACTCCAATCTTTTTTTGTAAAAAACACAGTTTATTGTTTTGATGGTCTACTATTCTCACAGCACTGTGACAAAGACATTTCTGCATATTCTTACATTTTTTTAACCATTCTTCCTATCTCCTAGGGGGAAGGAGAATCCTAAAATTTCTCAAGTTGTGCCTTCCTCCAAGAATTCTATTCTACACTCCTATCCCGTATTTCCCAGGGGAAAGAGATCACAGAAATGTAAAGTTGATTTTTTAAAATATGCTTTAAATTTTGATGAATTTTACCTTCTTGTGCATAATCTATTTCTTTTTTATTGTTATTAATCCTCACCCAAGGATATTTTTTTCCACTGGTTTTTAGAAAGAGTGGGGGGGTGGGGGGGACTGAGAGAGAGAGAGAGAGAGAGAGAGAGAAAGAGAGAAAGAGAAAGAGAGACTTCGATGTGAGAGAGACACATCAATTGGTTGCCTCTTGAACATGCCCCGACCTGAGGGGGGGGGGGGGGGGTGAACCTGCAACCCAGGTATGTGCCCTTGACCAGGAATCAAACCCGAGAACCTTCAGTGTGAAAGCCAACACTCTAACCACTGAGCCACCAGCCAGGGATACATAATCTATTTTCTAAAAGCCATCTTGCTCTTTTTTGCTTTCCATTTATTACTCATGGAAAAATAGATATTCAATCTCTCTCTCAAAAAAAAAAATCTAAGCATTTTATAGAAAGTGAAACCGAATTAGGGGAAATAGGTTGTTTTGCCTTTTAAGTAACTTTTACCTTTTTCCTGATTATAAAATAGCATTGCTATTTTTATTGCAGTAAAATACTAAAAAGTTGGCCAAAGTTATCTATGATGTCGTATCACACAGGTAGCTAACTCTAAGATTCGGTTTTAACATGTGCGTGTATTTCCTTAAATACATAAATATGCACAGCAAAGGAAATAGCACACAGCTTGGATTTTTTTCTCAGCAATATGTAGTTTTCCCTTCAATATGCTAAAAGCTGACATGAAGAAATGAAATGAATGGCCTAGAGATGAGTAGGCCACAGCAGTGCTGAAGTATAGCAGATGAGATAAAATGGGTGACGTGTTTCAAGGTGCTGGTGTGATGTTTCTATCTCTCTATCCCTCTCCCGTCCTCTCTATCTAAAAATCAATAAAAACATTATGAAGAAAAAGAATTAGCTAATAGCAAAAATGAAGAGTCAAGAAGACACCTGGATCAGGTGTTCTCAAAACTGAAGGTGAGCCGAAACCGGTTTGGCTCAGTGGATAGAGCGTCGGCCTGCGGACTGAAGGGTCCCAGGTTCGATTCCGGTCAAGGGCATGTACCTGGGTTTCGGGCACATCCCCGGTGGGGGATGTGCAGGAGGCGGCTGGTCGATGTTTCTCTCTCATCGATGTTTCTGACTCTCTATCTCTCTCCCTTCCTCTCTGTAAAAAATCAATAAAAAATATATTTTAAAAAAAAACAAAAAAAAAAATGAAGGTGAAATGAAAAGCACAGCCTCTCCCAGGAGCAGCTGCAGGAGTGGCCTCAGAAACAGCTGGGACAAAATGGAGAGGGGGAGGGGGAGCGAAAGGGGGAGGGAGAGATTAAAGAAGCAGGGTCATTCGTTTACCGATGACAATCCTTAAGTTCCAAACCATACAGAAAAAGGAAGGGGTTTTTTTGTTTGTTTGTTTTTCAGTAAATTGTTCTTTGGCCACTTCTCTACAGGAAATGAATACTGTTACCAAATGTGTGCTAAAAGTTCTCAATATATTAAGGATATCGACTGGGTCATTTTGCAAACCATTTGAAATGACAGCTTGTCTTATAATATTTTACGACTGCACATTCACATTGAAATCCTTAATCTCTCAGAAGCTATTTCGGCATATGTAAGGCGACTATATCCCCTGTCCCCATAGGTGTGCTATAAAAGTACTTCCACGCCTAAGCAGGCGTTGCAAGAAGAGTTTCACTGAAGGCCCCAAAAGACACAGATTTGTCCCCACACCTCACCCCACACTTCACCAGTAGTATCCTGTCACACAGGGCCCTGTCCTGGGAAGGTCATGCCCTCAGCTAAATGTCCTACTGTCCTGAAACGCCCCATTTTGATAAGGGGCCCTGCCTTCCCATTTTACCCTAGCCCCACGATTATGGATCCAGTTCTACTTGAGGGTTCTCATCCAGGCCAGCCCTGCCACTGACAGATGAGGTCCAGACAGAAAAAGTGAATTTCTACAAGTTATACAGCCACTTAGTAGAGGAGAAAAAACAAATCAGGATTATAATCTATTCTTCTAAGCTAACTATATAATGTTCTTTTTACAACACTGTGTTCTGCTGTCTGGAGAAGTATTCTGAAAAATCACAGTATCATTAGTCTAAACATTCTACCGCCTACAGAGATCATTGTTTAAGTTAGGACTAACCTATACAGATACATTTCATATTTTTAAAAACTCTATTACATAAAAGAATGCTAGGGGAAAGGGAACTTACTCTTTTAGGCATTTAATTCAGCTGAATGTTTAAACAATCTTCACACACACATTGACACAAATGACAAAACACAAGAGATTTCATTATCTACATTCCTAAGTGTAGGGAACTATACATGAAAAAAATAGAAACCAAATCTATACAAAAAACACTCATCCTCAATTTCTAAAACTTCAAGAAATGGAAAGCCAGGCAGCAAACATCACAGAGACTCCTACCCTCCAACATGTATGCCTCTGATTATGTGCTAGCAGTGTGTCCCAAAGCTCACTCACCATGTTGCTAACAAGGCCTCAAATTACACTAAATAGAACCTGAATGGTTTGTCCATGAGGACACTTTCAAAATCGACTTAAGTATTGAGAGACTCAACATCTAACCACCTGATCGAAATCACACACATTGTACTATTTAACAGATAAAGTTCTCCTAAATCTCTTTACCCAAGACCTACTGAAAGCATGTGCTTTCCAGGAAAATAACAAAGCAAACAGCCACTGTGAACCCAACATATTAGTGACGAGGCTTACAAGCCAGGAAAGAAGTTCCTCATGCGCCAGAAGTCTGCCTTGGAATAAAATCCAACTAACATATACAGGTCAGAGAGGAGCAACTTAGATCCTTACAACTGCAATGCCTTAACTCTACAGTGCAGTGCTCTTTGCATTGTACACAGAGGGCTCAGGGCTGCATAACAAAGGTTATCCTCAGAACTACCCCACAGAGTGTGGGTGACTACAGTTAACACTGCTCTCAGATATATGTAAACGGTGGTAGGAGAGGAGATCCTAAAAGTTCTCATCACAAGGAAAAAAAATACTTTGGTAACTATATGAGGTGACATATTAACTAAACTTATTGTGGTAATTATTTTGCCATATATGTAAGCCAAGTATCTTCTACACCTTAAACTTACACAGTGTTGTCTGGAAATTACATCTCAATAAACCTAGAAAAAATAAAAATTAAAACATACTGGGTGACTTTTCAGAAAACAAGGGAAGAAAAATAAATTGCATGAAGTTTTAAAAAGAGCCACCAGGTGGCAGAATTCCCTGAGCCTCACCCAGTTAAGAGAGCAGTTTGTTATGCTCATTGACCAGAAGGTGGCAATGTAGCCTCAGTTTCTCAATACCAACAGATCAGGCTGGTCTTGGGTTTAAGATTTTGCATGTAACAAATACAGATCAAAAGCACACATCTCTAACATCTTCTAATACCAGAAAGCTTTCATTTCCTTACATTCTGAATGTTGATCTGTAGTTCCATTTTGTAGTGATTGAAGTCTTTGGCAAGTTCATGGCCCTGATGATAGAAAGTAAACATTCCCTGAAAAAATGACAGCATCTAAGACAAAAAAGAAAGAGTCACTTTAGCACCAAAAAACTCAGGAGGAAAAAAAAAAGAATAAAAACAGCCGAGTTATTTCCCCTTATCTCACTGTGATTCTAATGAAGTAAAATAATTAAAAGGAAATCACTCGAATTCAATTAAATCCAAAAGCATCTTACTTAATTTGCCCTTTAAAAAAGAATTTGTGATTTTTTCCCTTTAAATATCAAAGCCATGAGACAGTGTTTATAGTAAAATGTGTAAGAGAAAAAGAATTCTACATCCATTTGTTCTTTTTAGTAGAGAAAATTGCTGTATTTATCATTGAAACGTTATCATTGTAGGTCAATAGAATCTATATAGAAAGTGAAGTCACAAAATCAAAGAGCTAAATGGCAGCCAGGGTAGTGCCACCTGTTTTGTCGAAAAGGACTTTCAGTCACTGGGCAGAGAGGAGCAGTAATTAAGCCCCGGGTTTCCTACCAACTCTCCACCTGCCCCTCTCGATTAGAAGGCAGTTGCTTCTGCCCCACATGTGAGTAAATCTTAAGTGAGCAAAAGTGATTTGGGGTGAGAGTTGAGGAAATCTTGAAATCCATCTTCTTCAGAATGTCACGCAGTGAATAGTTAGGAACTTGGGACTCTGACCTCCATTGGCCAGGAGGGGTCAGTTCCCAACTTCAGCACAGTTAGGAGGCCTTGGCCAAAGTACTGAAACTGACTCTACTTCAATCTGCTTATTTGCTAAGTGAGATTATAAACATATCTCCTCATCGAGTCATTCTGTGGAATAAAATTGCATGAACACAGGAAAGGACTTAGAACACTGAGTTGAATAATGACTGAGCATTGCAAATGCTAAATAAATGTCCATTGTTATCTCAGATGAAAAGAAAGTTCTAAGAAAGAAAAATTTTCCTCTAATTTAGGTTAATTCTATTATTCCAACTGGACCATACCTCCCATGAATGCCAATTTTTCGTTAATCATTACTTGATTTTTTTTTTTGTTTCTCAAAATTATATACACAATGGATAAATTGTAAGGCATGTGAAGTTATACCAATGAAGCTGTTTAAAAAAAAATCAGATACAAAAACATCTACATTAAAATTAATACTGACAAATTCTAGTTTCTTGATTTTTTTGCTAAACCCCACAGTATGAAATAAAGTTTACATTTTATTCAGAAAATAAATATATTCATGTGCATAACCTTTAATACATACAGAACTGAAGCTATTAGAATATCTATAATAATAAAAGCATAATATGCTAATTAGACCAGGCATCCTTCTGGATGACCTTCCTGATGAAGCCAGGGCTGCAAGGGAAGCCCAAGTCCCAGTTGCCTGCCAGTGGCCAGAGGGAAGCCTGGGTCCGAGGTGCCAGAGGGAAGCCGGTGCCGGCAGCCAGGGGAAGGAAGGCCTACTCTTGCACGAATTTTGTGCACCAGGCCTCTAGTATCTATATAAGCACAAACAAAAATCATGTGTTTCTCAAATAAGTATAAAGCAATCTCAGAATAGCACAAAATAGTTTCAAATGTTCCACACACTGGTTCTTAACTTAGGTTGACATTAGTATTGGGAATTGTATTAGAAATAATCTGTTATCAATAATTGTTGAAAGTACCCAAGTTTGGACAGGTGTACTTGCTTTGGAAACAAACTTGAGTAGAGTGAGTATTATCCCTCTCACTCACATTCCAGTAGCATTTCTTTCACAGGGATGTTCATTAAAGGTAACCTCCACCTCATGGCAGAGTCCTGGAGACCACGCAGCAAAAGAAATGATACCCATCACATGTTGCTGTGCAGATGAGGCTAAAAACCACTGACTGATGTGTCAGTGATTCATTCCTTGACCTCACAGCTGTGTCCACCCTTTACAGTTTATGGTGCCCCGCTTCATAGGTGTGCACTACAGCCTCTAGAAACCATTAATGAAAGCTAAAACAAAAAACATTTGTGTCACACCACAAAAATCCAGCAGAACAACCAGCTACAATACTCACAGGTTCCACGAATTCAAACTTCTTTCTTTCTTGGATTTCCTGCAGCTTACATACATATTCGAGAGACAGTTCGTAAAAGTGCTGCCGGTTTTGCTCCACTTGGACGTCTGCCTACGTTAAAATAATTGAGGCTGGTCAAATTAGAGGCAGCAAGGAGTGAAACTCTTGATCACAAGTCAGCAAAACGATAGCCACAGGCCACGTATGGCCCGCTGCCTGCTTTTTCTAAATGAAGCTATATTGAAACAGAGTTATGGCTGTTCCTTTATATACCACTGACGGCTACTTCCCTGCTACAACAGCCGAACTGAGTAGGTTACAACAGGGACCGCATGGTCTACAAAAGCCTAAAATATTTACTAGCTGACTCTTTATAGAAACAGTTTCTGACCCTGGTCTATGTATTGACGTTGGCCCCAAAGGACTGAAGATGAAACAGTAAGAGTCTTCATGAAAAACCCAAACAACTGAAACCCAAGGCTGAACCACACACACAGAAGTCTGAGGCCGGCCAGGGAAAGAGGTTAGGGAAACGCCAGTCACCTCAGCACCCACGAGGGAAGGCAGCAGGTGAGGAAGTCGCACTCATGCCACCATATCAAGAGCCGGCTCTCAGATGGATCAGGCTGGGAAGCCCATGCCTGGTCAGTCCTGCTCCTGAATCCTCACAGTGCCTCGTCCCCAGGGAAGGACCAGGCACCCGATGGTCAGGCACTGCTCTTAAAAAGGAAGGTCCCAGGGTACTCAGTCTAAGCAGAAAGGAATTGGAAGAGGAGCGCAGTTCCACGGAGGAACAGCAGAGAAAGAATTCCGGAACCATTCTTACAAGCCAACGTGTAATATAGTCCCGAATTTGGCTAATTATAATTTTAAAATTATTCATCCAGACATTTTTCCAAAAAGATATACAAAGCATATACTCATGAGTACATAAGACAGTCAAATTAAGAGAGACAGAGCCCAGCCAGTGTGGCTCCGTGGTTGAGCACCCAGGGAACCAACAGGTCCCCATTCGGTCAGGGCACATGCCGGGGTTGCAGGCTTGATCCCCAGTGGGGGCGTGCAGGAGGAGGCAGCCGATCTATGACGTTTCTTTCTCATCGATGTTTCTATCTATCCCTCTCCCTTCCTCTCTCTCTAAAAATCAATAAAAACATATTTTTTTAAAACAAGATAGAGAAAATAGAATGGAGCTTGCCAGGGTTTGGGGGTGGAGAGAATGGGGAGTTAGTACGGAAAGAGTACAGAATGTTAATTTGGGAAGATCAAAAAGTTCTGAACATGGATGGTGATGGTTGCCTATGTGAATAAACTTCATGCCACTGAATTGTACACTTGAAAATAGTTAAAATCATAAATTTTAATTTTTGTCTATTTTACCCTAACAATGTTTTCTTAATTTTGAGGAGAAAAAAAATTAACATATAAGTTTTTCCTGTCAAATGATTTTTAAGCAAAATAATGTTAAGATACAAAAAGTATAACTAACCCCAAATGAGAATTTCTACCTCACACTCATCAGAATCATGATATTTTTATACCTCTAATTAAACTAGAGTTTGCTAGATCCATCACCAGCAGTTAACAGGCACAACTCCCAGCAAAAACAACGTAATTTTGTTGAGTATTTAACCAAATAAAGATATGAGAAGCTATGAATAAATTCTTCATGTTTCTGTTACTGGAAAATGTACTTCAAAAAATTACACCAGGGTCAGATTTACCAAGTTTGTTTTTTTACGTTTTTGCTGATTCTCTCTCCTGGCTGTTCATGATACTGGAATCATCCTAGTATTGCCAGTCAAATGCTACCCATGCCCCTCTAATGGTCTGATTATTCATTAATCAAATTAATGAATCAAATTAATGAATAATCAGAACATTAACCCAGGATTAAATCACCAGTATCCCTGATAATGTCAGTAGCCCATCATTTACAACAACGCCATGGACACCCATGTATACCTTGCAGCACTCTCCTTGGCCTGACTCAAGTCTAAAAGGCAATCACTACATGTGGTGCAATAATAACTATATTTGGTCTGTGTCTCAGATTCCTAGCACAACGCTCCTAAAACCCATGAAATTTCCTGAGTGACAGGAGTGTCTTTGACCATACCTAGCAGCCCCTTGAGAGCACACCAGAGATTATGCTAATGAGGGCATGAGAGGGGGCCCTAGACAGTGATGGAAAGACCTGGTGATCAGAGGGGTGACACTTTCAGACCCGCCCACCACCTCTGGGACAGGAAAGGGGATGGGGAAGGGGACATTACAGATTAGGCTCCATAAAACTCTTACATAGGAACTGATGAGCTTCCATGCTGGTGAAAGCATCCAGGTGCCGGAGAGTGGCACACCCCAGTTTCATGGGGAAACTTCTGCACTCGGGACCCCCTTCCAGATCTCGCCTACGTATGTCTTGATCTGGCTATTCATCTGCATCCTTTCCATTATTCTTTATGATAAACTGGCAAACTGGAGTAAATGATTCCCTGAGTTCTGTGAGCCACTCCAGCAAATTAACTGCAGGAAAACTCCTAATGAATGGAGAGTATTTGAAAAAGTATTTGAAGGAGTGAGGCCTGTGGATCTGGGTTAGAAACATACCAGGCAGGAAGGAGACCAAATGCAAAGGCCCTGTGCATAGAATCCACCTGTCCCAGTCCAGCCAGAGCCTGGCAGTCATGTGGGTGTGAGCACAGGTGGGGTGGGAGGGGGCTGTGGGAAGGGTTTGGAGAAGAGGAACCATATGAAGGTTCACTCAGCTTGTCCTATAGAAAATAAACTGTAGGAATACATTGGTGGAATCAGGAGGACCAATTGAGAGGATGCTGCAGAAATCTGCTGAGGGATGCCAGCAGCTGGGCCAGGGTGATTCTGAGTATATTCTGCAACTAAAGAAGACAGAGGCTGGCAGGCTGGGTGTGGATGTAAGGGAGAAGGCCAAGGACGACTCTAAAGACTTTATCTAAGCAATGTTTAGAATGAGATACGCAATTCGATAGTGAAGTGGAAATGGAAATTAACTCGGGGCATGAAAATCCCTTCAGGATACCAGAAAACAGAGATAAGGGGAGAAGAGAGGCAGCATAAAGAGAACCTATGAAAACAACAGCTGTCACTTCCAAATTGACAGAGGGTAGGGGGGTGTGGTTTTCTATATAATATGGAACAAAGTAGAGAATGAGGGGAGCCCTACCTGCCTAATACAGTCTTGTAGTTCGGATTAAGTGATATAAAAGCACTTTTCCATACTGTCAAATGCCATCCAAATGTCAGTCAAAGGTATTAAAGAGAAAAAAGGAAGTGTGACATGTGGGTAAGGTCAAAATGAACACACACAATTTGCAACTACATTCTGCTGTTTAAAAATAACCCAGGTTTGTACTAGAGTTAATGTTGCTAGTGTCTTTTTTATGCTACTTCAGTAAAGTGTATTTTGTAGTGGTAAATTATGTCAGGATTCCTTATGTGTTTAAAAATGAACAAATGAAAAAAAAATCACACTTTTATAGGATGAGTCAAGAGCCTAACAGCTGCACACAGCATTATTTTCAAGGAAAGCATATGTTCCAAAATGAAAACCACTGAGTTTGCATTCAAGTGTGTGTGAGAGAGAAAAAAGTGGCCGGAAATTTAGAAAAGAGAAAGAGAAAATGAGAGAGAAGATATAAATTCCTTTCTCCTTACGTACAACTCCCTCAAAAAACAAAAAACAATGAGTCTATTAACAAAAGGAAAACAGATGTTCTCTAATGAAATGGAACCTCCTGAATCTTCAGCATTAAATAAGATTAACGCTGCCTTCACATAAGAGCAAAATGGCCTGTGAGCTTGTTAGATTTAATTCATTTCTTCAAGAAATCTTGAGCCCTGACTGGTTTGGCTCAGTGGATAGAACAACAGCCTGCGGACTCAAGGGTCCCAGGCTCGATTCCGGTCAAGGGCATGTACCTTGGTTTCGGGCACATCCCCAGTGGAGAGTGTGCAGGAGGCAGCTGATTGATGTTTCTCTCTCATCGATGTTTCAAACTCTCTATCCCTGTCCCTTCCTCTCTGTGAAAAATCAATAAAATATATTTTTAAAAAAAATAAATCTTGAAAGCCATTCAATAACTCAATTCCTAAAAATAACAACTGTTCTTCAGTAATGCTCTTTAAAACTGTTCCTGTGAATATATACTGAGAACCAAAGATTGTCATACTATGAATCCACACTGAATTGATCACTGTAAGATGTATTAGTTATTCTGTGTCTTGTTCCACAAAAACTCTTTTTCCTTCATTCAGGGAAGTACATATTCATTTTTTTCCATCTCTAATATCCTACATGGAAAGTTTTTAAGTTACATGCACCAAAAGATTGATAGATTCCCCAGTAGGGGGCGTACAGGAGGCAGCCGATCTACCTTTCCCTCACATGGATGTCTCTCTCTCTCTCTCTCTCTCTCTCTCTCTGTTTCTCTCTCCCCCTCTCCCTCCTGCTCCCTCCTTCTTTCTCTAAAATCAATACAAAATATAAAAATATATTTTTTAAGGTTTTTAAAATAAAAACACCTTTTAAAAAAAGCTATACAAATCATATATGGTGACGGAAGGATGCTTGGCTGGGTACTGAACACACAATGTAATATACAGGTGATGTATTATAGATTTGTACACTTGAAACCTATATAACCTCATTAATCATTGTCACCCCCAATAAACCTAATAAAACTTTTAAAAAGACATACACTGCTTATTCAATTTTAGAAATGAATGAATAGAAAAATTAAAAATAATACCTCTTGTAAATGTGAGTCTTTCTTTTTTGCTGATAAATTCAAATGTTTATCAATTAGGGTATAGTTCTTCTCTGTCTCTTTGTCAAACTTCTTTTTTTCTTCCTACAAATCAGAAAAACACAGACAAGTATGATTAAACAGGAAAGGAAATGCATACACATAGTAAATTCACTGGGAAGTTCAAAATATGAAGAATAATCTGAAAGTAAAAGAAGTGCCACTGAGAGTGAAGTCATCTGAAAAATCTATCTGTACTCAGGCCACAGATTATTCATCAACAAGACAGCATTAGAATTGAAGAGCCATTTATCTTTTTTTCCCCTTGAATGGGCTTTATTCCAACCCTGTTATTTTCCAACTCTTCATACTTATCAGTGTTTAGAATTAATGCCATGTCACTTATCCCGTATTTTTTTAAAATGCAAAAGAAGGATATATAATAAGAATATAAAGGTTAAAAAAAGCTAATTTGCACCCGGCCAATGTGGCTCAGTGGTTGAGTGTCAACCCATGAACCAGGTGGTCACAGTTCCATTCCTGGTCAGGGCACATGCCAGGGTTGCAGGCTCGATCCCCAGTAGGGGGCGTGCAGAAAGCAGCCAATCAATGATTCTCTATTATCATTGATGTTTCTATCTCTCTCTCCCTCGCTCTCCCTTCCTCTCTGAAATCAATAAAAACATTTTTAAAAAATCAAACTTGTTATCGATTTGGCACAGAAATGGAATTCACTTAAAACTGAGTTTTTTCTCTATATTAATAACAATAATAATAATCACATTGGGGGGAAAAATCTTAGGGAAAGTTCTGCCTAATTGTCTCCAGTATGGATATAACAATAAGATCCTCTGACCGGAAATGCCATCTGAAGGGCCTAAAATAATACTGAGACTGTGGTTAATGTTATAAACATCTCTCAGATACTACCTACAATTAGCATTTGCTGTCTTTTGCTATAGAAGCTCTTTGAGAAAGCAAGTGACCAACATTTTAATCGCTGAAAAAAACTATCTCCCCTCACTTGCCAACTTAAGCAGATTTTTTAATAAATATTTTTGAGCACCAATGAGAGCACGCTATGTCCTCATGCTGTCAAAATGTTTCCATTAACTGCAAGCTCCCCGACTCTCCAGTGCCTCCTGGAAAGGAACATTCTCTTCCCTGTTTTCCAACTTCCCCTTTCTAAAGCAAAAATAATGAACCAGTCCAGCCCTTTCTGGTATGATCTTGCTCGGATTAGGCAGGAGCCTGAATAAAGCACATACAGTCTATCCCTTTGCATTGGTCATTATTTTTTTCACTACGTGGGAACTACAAACTGCTCCTGTGGGACCCTAGGTCAGGAGCTGCCAGCTCACCTGAAGAACATACACTGCTGGATAAGAGACAGGCGCAGGAACTGAAGTTTATTACAAACTAGCTGCACAACTTCACACACAAAGTTTAACACCTTGGTTTTCTTATCAAGAACATCAGGAAGTATTTTTTGCGCTAGCTCACTCATAGATCCAATCCTAATGTTCCGTATCCTATCCTATACCCATGTGTACGAATAAACTTTTGTTGAAATAGGAGCACTTTTTCTTTATGCCCTAGGTTAATGTACAACCATTTTTTTCTTAAGTTTAAGGCATGAATATATGGTTACTCTGTCTTCTGCTTTTCATAATTATACTCTTCCTCAACTATTGTAGTAACAGAAAAATAAAGTAAAACAAACATGTGGCCATTACTACAAAAATCTACGCTATTTAAAAAAGCTGATATAGCCCTGGCCAGGTAGCTCAGTTGGTCAGAGCGTTGTCCCAGTACGTCAAGGTTACAGGTGCGATTCCCAGTCAGGACACATACAAGAAGCAACCAATGAATGCATAAATAATTGGAACAACAAATATCTCTCTCTCTCTCTCTCTCTCTCTCTCTCTCTCTCTCTCTCTCTCTCGCTCACTCTTTCCCCCCCTATCCCTCCCTCATCCTTCCTCTCTCAAATCAATCAATTTTTAAAGTAAATAAATAAAAATAAAAACCAGAAAAGCTGATATTGTACAGGACACACTGGATTAGGTGTCAGGAGACTCAAGTTCTAGTCATGGCCACTTAGGACTCTAACTGCCCGGAGTCCCAGCATTCTCCGAGCATGTCTGCATAGTTTAAAGAGAACAGGAATGGAAGCCATGCAGCTGCATTTACAACAAGATTACTGCAATGCAAGGTCACCAAGTAAAAAAGGTTCACTATCTTTGCAGATTTCTTCTGACCAGGAATGTGGAAAACATTTCTACTCATGATTTCTTCTGAATCACAACATGGGACAAAAGAAGGAATGATGCTAAAATCAGCATCAAAACACCCAGCATACTCAGCAACAGTGGGGATGGAAATTAACATGTGGGTCAAGTTTGGAATGAAAGAAAAGGGTGATATCAAGGCTCTGTGAAGAAAGAATTTAGCCAAGAAACAACATTACACCCTCCACTGAGAATGGAAATACATTCACTGACACTGAGTATGGTATTATACAAATGCTGCTGTGTTTTTGTTTTTGAGTCATAAGACTTACATAATTATTTCTTCCTGCATCTGTTCTCAATGCCCTTTAGAGTATTATTGTTTCTTTGTGCTCATATAACTTTTTGTACTGAAATAATATGAATTATTTCTTTAACACTGCAATATAGGATATATATATATATGTGTATGTGTGTGTGTATATATATAGATATATGAATTATCCTATCTAATAAAAGAGAAACATGGTAATTGGCGTACGACCGCTACCCTTCCCATTGGCTAATCAGCGAGATATGCAAATTAACTGTCAGTCAAGATGGCGGCCGGCAGCCAGGCAGCTTGAAACTAACATGAGGCTTGCTTGCTTCAGTGACGGAGGACTCCAACATTCCCCGCCTGCCGCTGCAGGCCTCTGAGCTGCAACTCTAAGCAACTATGTAACAAATACAGAAGCTAAACAAAACCCCAGAAAACTGCTTTAGTCCGCCAGACTTCAGCCAGCAAGATCGCAACATTGTAAAAAAAGGCCAGAAACCTGCTTTCAGCAGCCCTCAAAGCTAAAGCTGGCCCAGAATAAAAAAAAGGAAAAGAAAAAAGGGAGCAGTTGGGAGCTTCAGCCCTCAGCCCCTCACCCAGACTGGCCAGGCACCCCAGTGGGGACCCCCACCCTGAAGGGTGTGTGACCAGCTGCAAACAGCCATCATCCCCTCATCCAGGCTGGCCAGGAACCCCAGTGGGGACCCCCACCCTGACCCAGAACACCCTTCAGGGCAAACCAGCCGGCACCCACCTGTGCACCAGGCCTCTACCCTATATAGTAAAAGGGTAATAGGCCTCCCAGCACCGGTGTCAGCGGAGCTGAGAGGCCTCCCGGCACCAGGATCAGTGTGACAGGGGGCAGCGCCCAAACCCCCTGATCGCCCTGCAGCTCTGTGTGTGACAGGGGGCGGGGCCACAACCTCCCTATCCGCCCTGCTCTGTTCGTGACAGGGGAAGGCGCCCCAACCCCCTGATCAGCCCTGCTCTGTTTCTGATAGGGAGGAGCTCCCCAACCCCCTGATCGCCCTGCGGCTCTGTGTGTGACAGGGTGCGGCAACCCAACCCCCTGATTGGCCCTGCTCTGTGTGTGACAGGGTGCAGCGCCCCAACACCCCCCCCCCCCCGGGCCCTGCTCTGTGTGTGACGGGGTAGAGCCATAACCTCCCCATCGGCCCTGCCCTGAGTGTGAGAGTGGCGGCGCCCCAACCCCCTGATCGGCCCTGCTCTGTGGGTGATAGAGGGCGGCGCCCCAACCCCCTGATGGGCCCTGCTCTGTACGTGACAGGGTACAGAGCCCCAACCCCGACTGGCCCTGCTCTGTGCGTGACAAGGTACAGAGCCCCAACCCCCTGATGGGCCCTGCTCTGTGAGTGACAAGGGGCAGTGCCCCAACCCTCTGATCCGCCCTGCTCTGTGCGTGACAGGGGGTGGCGCCGCAACCTCCCCATCGACCCTGCCTTGAGTGTGACGGGGGCGGTGCCCCAACCCCCCAATCAGCCCTACCCTGAGCGTGACGGAGGGTGGCATTGCAACCTCCCGATCCGCCCTGCTCTGTGCATGACAGGGGGCAGTGCCCCAACTCCCCAATCGGCACTGCTCTGAGCCCGACCAGGGGCTGCACCTAGGGATTGGGCCTGCCCTCTGCCACCCGGTAGCAGGCCTAAGCCAGCACATCGTTATCTCCCGAGGGGTCCCATACTGCGAGAGGGCACAGGCCGGGCTGAGGGACCCCCCCCTCCCCCCTGAGTGCACAAATTTTTGTGCAACGGGCCTCTAGTCCTATATAATAAAAGCCTACTATGCTAAGTATCCGGTCGACTGGTCAGCCATTCAACCAATCAAAGTGTAATATGCTAATGATATGCTAAGGCTGCTCAACCACTCTTTATAACATGCACTGACCACCAGGGGGCAGACAGTCGATCAGTCGCTATGATGTACACTGACCACCAGGGGGCAGATACTTCAACCAGTAGGTTAGCTGGCTGCTGGGGTCCAGCTGATCGGGACTGAGAAAGACAGGCCAGACACACCCTGGAGCCCTCCCATGGTCCCTCCCCAGCTGGCCAACTTCCCATTTCCCTCCCCGGCTCCGATCGTGCGCTGGTAGGTCCCTCAGCCTGGCCTGCGCCCCTTCACATTTGGCACGACAGCAGAACGACTGGTCATTATGACACACATGGACCACCAGGAGGCAGATGCTCAACACAGGAGCTGCCCCCTGGTGGTCAGCGCACTCCCACAGCAGAGAGCAGGCCTAAGCCGTCAGTCAGACATCCCCCAAGGGCTCCTGAACTGCGAGAAGGTGCAAGCTGGGCTGAGGGACCCCCCAACGCCCACCCCAAGTGCATGAATTTTGTGCACCGGGCCTCAAGAGCAGTGGTTCTCAACCTTCCTAATGCCGCGACCCCTTAATACAATTCCTCATATTGTGGTGACCCCCAATTTAATTGTTACAAATTGAACATAATTAAAGCATAGTGATTAACACATTGTATGCAGGAAACGTATTTATACGTTCTACCAGTGTAGTAGAGCGCGGGACACGTATT